ATTCAGTCATAAGACCTGAGTGACCTTTGGGAAGGCATACTCTCTCAACCTCAGAGAAAGACAATGGCAAAGGCACTGTGAACAAATCTTGCCAAGAAACCCATATTATTAAACCCACTTTAGGATTGCCATAAGTGAAAAAACATATAAAGGCACACAACAAAAACAACAACAACTATCAGAAATAACTATGACGATTGAGCTCTGTTATTGTTACATGTGGCATTGCAGGATTTTGATCTAAGTTTTTGTGTTTTTGCATTTGGCACTGATTAAGAGGTATTTAGATACTAACAGAAGAAAAACATTAGGTCTAAGATAGTCTGAGATATATCATTCCCTATGACAATTTAATCAGTGAAGATGACACTCATTAGTTAAAGTAGATTGTATTTTAGCATAAGTATTTATTACAGGCAATGACCTGAATCCAATCGCTAGTCCCAACTCAGGCAGACCCATTGAATCAATGAGGTTTACATAGGCATTGACTTACCACTCAACAACTGATTTGTTGGCTCTACTGTACTCAGCCAGTGTGTTAAAATGACTTATACCATAAAGGGTTAATTAGGTCTATATGCAAGGCCTAGTTTTGCATGTTTGGATCTGAAAACTCTACCAAGGATGATAACCACTGAAAAAAACAAAGGGGAGTGACATTTTCCCATTTGCAGTGCTTAATCTTGCAAGGATTCTTTACTGTAAATAAAGCTTGATTGAAATTTCTAGAGCCAATTCTCTATAGAGTCACCAATCTTATCTTGTTTCCAGGGATGATAAAAGCGGAGGAGATGAGGAGTAGTTGGGAAACCTCATTACTGTCTCTCTCGGATTCTTGGGTCTCAACTATTGCTTTCTGATGGACTTTCTTGACACCAAACATTAGGAGTCTTTCAGCAATTTAATGACAAATGCCTTTCAGGTTAGTCAAGGAAAAGCAGCAGCTTAGAAGCTTACATCTGTTGACTCAGTACATGGAGTTTTACTTTAGTATGTAACTAACTCTAAAGAAAGAAAAGGAACAGAATGTGGCACAATAGTGACAAGATTTCTCAGTTGATTTACACTTGCCTAGGCCATTAGAGATCTTTCAGTGAAGATGAACTTCTGATCCTAGCAAATGGTATGCAGTGTGACATTTCATCTGAATTTCTAACCTGAACTCTCTTGTTTCTGAGATAGAGTTTGGGATCTTTGTAATAAGAATATGTCCAGGCTTAAATTGGCATTTAAATAAAGGTGCATCTTTTGAAAGTTCATTAATAGAGATTCTGTGTCACCATATATATATATATATAGAGAGAGAGAGAGAGAGAGAGAGAGACTGACTTACGGTATTTTTATTCCTTTAGCCCATTATTGAAGGTAAAACCAAGGCTTGGTTGATGGGACGGTTTTATCCTTAATATTTCATAGGATCACAGGAAACATTTGGTTTGTTATCATTGTAATTGAGAAAAGTGTTGTCTTATATAGCCCAATGTATTATGTTATTTCTGAAGATTGGGAATTGGACTCTTTGGACTGCAACACTCAAAAATCTAGGTCAGCATAACCGCTGACCATGTTGTCTAGGGAATTGTGAGAGTTGTAATTCAACAAAAGGAGAAGCATTTCCAAAATTGGCATCTACTATATAATTTAGGAACAATACTCCTAAATGATGAGGTCCTGTGCCCACTGGGTTCCTTGTACAGGTTCATGTGGCTGGCCTGCATTGACTTCAAAGGGATGATTCCATCCACAGCCATTCCCTATTTCCTATCCATACATTTGAAGCCATGTGAATAAGGCTTCAAGCAGTAATTTCCAAGCTTTGGTTCACCTGGTGTTTTGGATTTCAACTCTCAGAAGCTGGCATGGCCTATATTGAAGAATTCTAGTAGCTGAAATCAAAACATCTGGAGAAACAAAAGTTGGGAACCACTGGCTTAAGGTATCATGCAATCTGTTGTTGTTGTTACCAATTTCTCCCTAAGGCTCAAGGCAGGGTATAGCATAGATTAAAATATAACATATAACTAAAAACACACAAACCGTTTAAAAGTCATAGATTACAAACACATAAAAATAAAATTGAAACACAAACCATTACACAAACTTTAAAAGCATTCATACATAGACTTTAAAATGTCAATTAAAAATTGGAAAATCTTAAATATCCCTATTCAGAAACATATCCTGCCCACTCTAATGGGACTCCAGAGTTACTATGCAACCAATCTACTGAATGTTAATTTGGTTGATTGGCTCACTGAGTTGAGACTTCCTCCCAAACAAACTGTGCATTAGGATTTCATTAGCCATTCTTTTCTCATCTTAAATGTTTCCTATTATATAACTCAGCACACACAACATAAAATAAATTAATTGACACACTAGAAGATGTAATGTATTAGTATTTTAAAAGAAATAATGCCTATAGCAAAGCAAAACTTGTTGACAATTTCATATATATATATATTCTAACCCTGCAAAAGCAGCAACAGCTAATGGTGTGTTTCATTGAATTCTGCTCTTAAGCAGAAGTGATAGTTTCCCTCTTCCTCTTGCAACTAAAAATATTCTCTGGAGATCTGAGAAAGCACTTGAAACAGGGTTTTGATGCCATGGATAACTATGGAAGGAAGGAAAGGCAAGACGTTCCAATTTCACTGGCATTACAAGTCTATTTACGCTATTCATCATCAGCGATCTCTCATGTCCAAGTGTGATTGCCTTACAAGTGCTGGGTCCATAGGTCACTGTTGAGACTGATTCTTGATCCACATGTTGTTCTGCAGTGAGGACCGGTGCCTTCTACATAGCGGTAGAAGGTGGTTCCAGTCAGGGTTGACTTGACATGCCTTCCTCTTGACATATTTCTCCCTTTTGCCCTCCATCCGTGCCTCTTTGAATTTCACAGCATTGTTGGTCACAGCTGACCTCCAGTTTTTGGGGTCTATGCCACAGTTTTTAAGGCCATCTTTAAATCTCTTTTCCTGACCAACATTCCATTTTCCATTCTTGAGCTGAGGACATAGTAATTGCTTTGGGAAACTGTGATTGGGAATTCAGACAACATGACCAGTCCAGCAAAGTTGATGATGGAGGATCATCGCTTCAACGCTGGTGGTCTGTCATCCCAAGAGATTAGCAGGATTTTTCAGAGGCAAGAACATGGCCAAAAATTGTAGCAGGACCTCAAAGGCTAACAGTTTTACGATCGTATTAATTTATGGGACCTAGACCTCATTTCATCTAATGCAGGAGTATGTGTCTTTGTAAATGTGTTTAGAGAAAATATTGTGAAACCTTGTGTCACGTGGCAATAAAGTATTAAAAATACAGAGTGATAATTCCACTAAATGGAAAAGATTTTTTCCCAATCCTATCAGTGTTGACTCAGAAATATGCCCTGTTGTCTTGTGTAGGATATATTCCCAGGTGTATATAGCAGAGATAGGAAGTGTTCAGCTCTCCAGGTTTTCTTGATTAACAAATATCATCAGCCCCAAAACAGAACAGGCCATGGTAATGAAAGGCTGGATCCAACAACATCTAGAACAATCCAATAACATCCGGAAACCCATGTGATTCCAATTCTTAGAGTGTAGGCTTGCTTCAGTGGTGTACTTGCATTTACTAGCTATTTTATACCACCCAAACCCACATATTTTGTCACTTTTAAACATTTAGGCTTGCTAATTTTGGAACACATTTCTAAAATTAGCATATGATGAACTGAAATGTAATTTAGAAAATTGTATATACTATAATAAATGTATTAACTTTGAAGCATGTGTATAGCTTATTCTGAATCAGACTGACATGTTAGTTGAAGCAGTGCAAATGGCTTTTTAAAATTCTTATTTGACTTTCTCTTGCAAATTTCCAATGAAACGGGTCAGTATTATTCCCATTATACAGAGAACTGAGACTAAGATGATTTATTTAACAAATCTCAAATGGGATGTCAACAGAGTTTTTAAATTATGTAAATACAACCTAAACTAATTTATCTGCTTTCCACTAGGACAGTTAAATTTTCATATCCTCAAGGAATGAATACATTCTGCACTATTAAGTTTTGAGAACCCAGATTAGCATTTTTGCAGAACATCTGATGTTTTGAAGCCTAAATCCTCAATACAAAACAGACAACTTTACACTTCTATGCAAAGTGAAGGCACTGACTGCCAACATATCAATGTATGACCCATGTTGTATACAAGTGTCAACCAAAGAGCTTCTGCTGCCTGAGGCAAAAACCATGATGGTGCCCCATTTTCATTCCATTTACCAAAGGACTCTAGACTTAACAGCAGATATTTTTTACTTCATCACTGCTGATGGGAAAACATCTTCCACTTCACCTGAAGGAACATGCTAAAAGGGCCTCTACACAGTGGAATCAATGCAGTTTGATTGCCACTTTAACTGCTGTGGTTCAGTACTTTCATATCATGGGAGTTGTGGTTTGGTGAGACACCAGCACACTGTTCAGAGACATATTGAGTATCAATGCCAAGTCTGGGCCCACAGTGCTCTCTGAATGTAGGTGAACTACAACTCCCAAACTCAAGGTTAATGCCTACTAAACCCTTCCAGTATTTCCTGTTCATTATAGGAGTTCTGTGTGCCAAGTTTGGTTCAATTCCATCATTGGGGAGTTCAGAATGCTCTTTGACTGCATGCGAACTATAAATCCCAGCAACTACAACTCACAAATGTCAAGGTCTATTTCCCCCAAACTCCATCAGTGTTCACATTTGGGCATGTTGAGTATCCATGCCAATTTTGGGCCCACAGTTCTCTCTAGATGTAAGTGAACTACAACTCCCAAACTCAAGGCCAATGCCTGCCAAACCCTTCCAGTATTTTCTGTTGGTCATGGGAGTTCTATGTGCCAAGTTTGGTTCAATTCCATCATTGGATGAGTTAAGAATGCTCTTTGATTGTAGGTGAACTATAAATCTTCGATCCTGGCAGTCTGTGGGTCCCAAAGGCGTGGGTGAAGAGCAGGCCAAGTGGGAGGAGTGACGAGCCCCCCGCTGTGCGCCAGAGAGACTTCCCCACCTCCAGCAAGAGGTGTGTTTGTATATTTTAAGGAAGGGGGTGGGAAGACTCCTCAAACTCTGAGAGACGCCCCTCGGAGAAGCGTCTTCCAAGGGAATTGCTGCTAGGAGTCCTCTGCCTCTCCGAAGAAGACAAGCCGGAAAGTTTCCCCGCATTTTTGTATATTTCCTTTTTTTTTTACTATTTATTTACTTTTTGTGCCTGCGGTGGCTTGCGGGTGTAGTAGTCAAAGCGAAGGCAACGGGATAGAAGAACTGCTTCCGAGTTGGAAAGGGATCTGCAAAGGCACAGGCCAGCCCTGCAAAATGTCCTGGAGGCAAAACGCCAGGTAAGTCTCGCATTTTGGAGCCTTGGAAAGGATGGCGTTTCTTAGGGAGCTTTTTTGAAGGCAAACATAAGTGGGATTCCGACTTCGTGGAGAGTGGGCTGGCTGAAATTCCTTAGGGGGTGATTTAAACTGTATTAATTCTACAGTGTAGAGTTAATACAGTTGCACTCCCAGGGCTCTCTTCTATGGGATCCTGGGAGTTGCAGTTTTACAAGGTATTTAGCCATCTCTCCCAAAGAATGCCCGTGCCCCACCAAACTACAAATGCCAGGATCCCACATCACTGAACCATTGCAGTTAAAAATGGTGTCAAACTGCATTAATTCTATAATGTAGATGCACCCTGGGCCTGCTTTGGCAAAGTTTGGCTCCAGTTAACTATTAAATGACACATTTGGTTCCAATAAATGGCAATTTCCAGGGTAGTTGAACCTTTTTTTTCAAAGTATACACATAACGCTACAATTGTGCTTCTCAGGACATTGCTTTAGGGGCCTTCCACATATAACCCAGAATATCAAGGCAGAAAATCCCACATTATCTGCTTTAAACTGGGATATATGGCAGTGTGGACTCCAATATTCCAGTTCAAAGAAGATATAGTGAGGTTTTCTGCCTTGATATTCTTGAATATAGAACTGTGTGGAAGGGCCCTCAGAAACAGAGTGAATGAGAATATCAGATATTCATAATGCTGTGGTTTATTTTGTTAAGAGGTTTGGCTCATTAATTAACTTGCTTTACTCTTTCCAAACATTCCCAAACTATTACTTAATCTGAAGGGAATCTTGGCCTCCCTTCCACATAGCTGAATAAAACCCCACATTATCTGCTTTGAACTGAAATATAAAGCAGTGGGGACTCATAACCCAGTTTAAAGCAGAGATTGTGGGATTTTCTGCCTTGATATTCTGGGTTACATGGCTGTGTGGAAGGACCTTAGAAGTTAGCTTGACTTGCTCTTTAGTAGGCATTTTAAGTTTGCTTTCATGATTCGCTTACACTTTAATTACACAATCTCAGGGCCCTTCCACATAGTCATATAACCCAGAATATCTGCTTTGAATTGGGTTATCTAAGGCCCCTTCCACACAGCTGAATAAAATCCCACATTATCTGCTTTGAACTGGAATATATGGCAGTGTGGACTCAGATAACCCAGTTCAAAGCAGAGATTGTGGGGTTTTCTGTCTTGATATTCTGGGTTATATGGCTGTGTGGAAGGGCCCTTAGTTCACACTGCAATATGTTCCAGTTAAAGCTGATAGTGTGGGATTTTATTCAGTTGTGTGGAAGGGGCCTCAAACTTACTTACCTGAAAGTAAATGTTGTTGGATTGAGCATTTTTTTTGGGGGGGGGGTGTATCAAATGCCTCACTTTCCATCTCCCTCTTATTCAAGTTCCCATAACTCCTTTTTTTCAACTTTGCTTTTTTTAGATTTATCTTCACAATGACTGTGGCTTTCCAGGGTATTTACTTTGGAAAAGGTGAGAAACTTTCCTTTGTTTTCTCTTGTTATGTTTGTTGGTAAATATAATAATAGATCCTCTGTTTAAATAAAACAAACTTTATTTTATTCATTTGCATCCTTCAAGGTTTTATACAAGAAGTGGATAGACAAAATAATGGAGAAAAACCAAATGCTACGCTCCAAAAGCACCACACAAAACATCAACTCGCCACATTAAATGTGATCAATGATATGAATCAGAGCTATGAAAGCAGAAAACAAATGAACTCTAAGCCACTGGTACCTTTCACAGGTCTTACACAGAGTGAGTAACTATTTTTGTACTGTATTGATTAACATGGTGTTTTCATTATTAGTAAGTAATTCTGGCCATCTGTCTTTGCAGGTCAGTTTTGTATACCATGCTATGTGGTGGTGGGGATTTTATGCAATGTTAACTTCCCTAAATTAGTCATTGTCCTCCATCTCATTTAACTACTGTGCAGTTCAAGCCTATTTTGTATAGAGAAAAGAGTCTGGCAGGAGGTCATAAAATGGATGGTGGGCTAAAACAAGGTAGACTAAGGTCCATTCCACACAACTGAATAAAATCTCACATTATCTGCTTTGAACTGGGATATATGGCAGTGTAGACTCAGATAACCAAGTTCAAAGCAGATATTGTAGGTATTCTGCCTTGATATTCAGGGTTATATGGCTGTAACTGGCAACACAATTCTATATGCCAGGCTTGGTGGCCTCTAGCTCTTCTGATGTAAACGGATTGGATTACCAGTGATTCACAGTAATGGCCAGGGTAGATGGAGAATTGAAGTTAACCCTACTTTGAGGGCAGCCTCAAGCAGCAGTTGCAGCATGGCCCACATGGTATAGCTACTGGTGAAGAATAGTAACAGTGGAGTATAAAACATATGAGGGACACTAGACATATTTAAGTAAGATCCGTTACTTTCAGTGGGAAGGCATGGCTCTCCCTGCTGAATGAATTATCTTCTGCAGGTTACCAAGGGCCCTTCCACACAGCCCTATATCCCAAAATATCAAGGTAGAAAGTTCCACAGTATCTTCTATGAACTGGGTTATCTGAGTCCACCCTCAGATAATGTGGGGTTTTCTGCCTTGATATTCTAGGACATAGGGCTGTATGGAAGGGCCCCAATGTACTTTTTGGATTCAAGAATGAAATGAGGATCATCTTGAGCTCCTTGGAGAGAATGGGATAAAATATAATCTGGCTAAGGACCCTTCCACATAGCCCTTTATCCCAGAATATCAAGGCAGAAAAATCCCACATTATCTGCTTTGAACTAGGTTATCTGAGTCCACACTGCCATATATTCCAGTTCAAAGCATATAATGTGGGTTTTTATTCAGCTGTGTGGAAGGGACCTAAGGTGCATGTGTCCTTTGAGAACCTATCACTTATGGTTTCCCATATACATCATGTATGTCACATAAGTCTGTACTTGTTACAGTGCATACGTGGGGCCCTTCCATACAGCCCTATATCCCTGAATATCAAGGCAGAAAAATCCCACATTATCTGCTTTGAACTAGGTTATCTAAGTTCACGCTCAGATAATGTGGGAATTTCTGCCTTGATATTCTGGGATATAGAGCTGTGTGGAAGGACCGATGGCTTTCCTTTATATATAGGTTACACAAACTTTGCAGTCCATATATGGAGGGCTGGTGGAATTCCATCTTTTGTATCTGAATGGAGCTGAAGTGGTAGTGATGTGGCTGTGCAGATGTATTGCACTTCCCATCATACCTCATTATAGTTATGCTGATAGGAATTATAGTTCAACAGCAACTGGAGTCCCACAAGTTCTATGTACATACAGTTGTTTCTGCAATACACTTTGACTGCTCACTTACTTGGGAGTTTTGCAAGTTTTGCTTTCTACCCTCAAGAGTTCGTGAATTGCTTTTTTTGCATGGAAATTCAATGCACCAATGGCTAATGCACACTTTTCTGGCACTGAAGAGGACCTTAAGGTCCTACTGCCATTACATCCAGGAAGTGGGTTAGTCCTTCTTTCAATGTTTCCTTGACTGATCTAGCTAAGTGTCAGCTTTACATCAGAAATGGCCTTTCCTGAAAAGGTTAACAAAAGAAATATGTAGGCTGGAGTACATATACATGTGTTTTGTTGGTTGATATATTTCTATACTTCTTACTAATAGAAGCTTTCCAGGCAGTTCAAGAAATGGACCAAAAACAGCATTATTTATGGGATTATCAGTAACAAAATATTTACCACTCGCTTCCAAGGAGCTCCCAGAAGCTGACATGGTTCTAGCTGCCTGTGTTATTATTACAACAACATCATGATAGCACCAGGAAAATTTACAACTCCCTGAGCTTCCTCCCTATGACATGCCTACATTCTTACAGAATGATTCCTTAATTTGGTATCCCCAGCACATCAGATTACAGCTCCCATCATTCCTAGCCAATGAAGGCCATTATTGCACTCATTACTAGGACAGCCAACATAACCAAAGGCCATTATTGTACTCATTACTAGAAAAACACATTCTTCTTTAATGCATATTTGTTGTGTGCCTTCAAGTCATTTCTGACTCATGGCAACCCTAAGGCAACCCTATCACTTGGTTTTCTCAGACTAAGAGTGTGTGACTAGCCCAAGGTCAAAAGCTATTCTTCAGAGACCAGTGCTCAAATCACTATGCCATGCATATAAGAAAAATGGTTAATTTCAATACATTTTTGTTCAGAAACTGTAAGGAAAGCGTAGTTTGAAAAATAAGACTCAAATCTGTTAGTCATTGTTCACACAGCAGCAACTACTAACAGAATTCATTCTTTTGGTGATGCTCCTTCTTAAAAGCTTGATTTATTTGAGCGTTGAGTGAGATATCTGGCTATATGCAGCCCTCCATGCACGCTTATCCAGTAGGACATGTGGTCAGGAGGTTGCTGCTTGACTTCTCAGTAATCCCTAGTAGTGTGCTTTTAATCCTTATCCAAACAAACCGGGCTTAACTGAACAAATACTCTTTTACAGGCAGCTAATTTTATTGTCCCCTTAAAGTCAATAATGTCAGGCCCTTGTCAGCCAGAGAGACTTGGTGCAGCAAGTGAGAAAGGAGGTTCAAACAAGTTGATTTTTCTCAGTAAACTGTGGAATATTCACTTTCCAGGTCGAACCTTGAATCGGCACTGCTGCCAAAATGGAGGGACTTGTATCCTGGGCAGTTTTTGTGCCTGTCCCAAACACTTCATTGGCAGATACTGTGAATACGATGAACGGAAGAGGTAAAGAGATGGGACTGAATTCCCGAGGGATGGCAGTTTGTTAATATGATAATGGCAAAAGTTGTGAACTTTGATCTATCATTGACAGCAATTGTGGCCCATTCAAGCACGGAGAATGGATGCGGAAAGGTTGCCAACTGTGCCGATGTGGTTATGGTATACTACACTGTTTGTCTGAGCATATAACGAATTGTGGTAAGAATGAACTTCCTTGATCTGTTTGTTATGTTATGCTGGCATTGAATGTTTGCCAATTTCTGTTGTAAACTACCCTGAGACCCCCTGGGGAGATAGGGTGGGATAAAAAGCATTATTATCATTATTATTATTATCATTATTATTATTATTATTATTATTATTATTATCATCATTATTATTGGAAGAAAAGCTCATCTCTATGTGTGTTTATGTGTAGATGAAATGCACTATCAATATTTCTATGAGGATTAAGCCAAATGTTACAAAAGTGTGCAAGCTTTAGAGTCCCCCAGAACTGGCCAGGCATGAGCAAAACCAGCTTCCAGATGCCTCCAGGAAGCACAATATTTCAGATTTTCGTGAATGCAAATTTGTGAACAAGTACTTATCAGAAACAAAAGTGGTCTCTTTCTGTTTTTAAATGAGTCTCCTACCAAAGAAAATTTGGAGGATGACAAGAAGTGGTATAAAACAACCAATCATAGCCCTGAAGCAAATAGGATCCTATTTGCCTCAGAAGTGCAATTGGTTTGCTTTTTTTATCCCAAGGTGCCCCTGAAAGCTGCCCACTCCTTAGTTAGACACTACAAAGAAAATCTGAGGCGCTTTCACACTTCACAACAAGAACAATGTGATTCTTATCTGCCCATGATTTCATCCCATGGAATCCTAGGATTTGTGATCTCAGGAGGTAACGTTAGGCCCTTAAATATCCCCGGGGTTGGGTTCCAGGATCACACACTTGAACACCTTATCAGAGACAAATATCTGTGAATGCTTAGGTCCCATTGGGTGCAATATCATGGTAAAATAGCAAAGTCAAGGTTTGCTTTTGGGATTTTGGCGGGGAAGAGGGGGGATATTTTCAAGCTGTGGATGGTTGAATGCATGGAGGCAGAATCCGTGGATAAGGAGGTCTGGCTGTATTTAGACTTCTCCGCCACAAAGCTCTGGTGCTTCTTAGGATTCCATTGGATAGAGTAGTTCAGATGAAAATGGAACAATAGTTTTATCATTGTGTAGTGTAGGGAGGAAATGAAGTATTCCTCAAAATAAGTGGGGGGGGGGGGAGTTGTGCCAGGAGTGACTTGAGAAAGTGCAAGTCTCTTCTGGTGTGAGAGAATGGGCCATCTGCAAGGATGTTGCCCAGGGAGTGCCCAGATGTTTGATGTTTTACCATCTTTCTGGTAGGCTTCTCTCATGTCCCCGCATGAGGAGCTGGAGCTGACAGAAGGAGTTCATCCATGCTCTCCCCAGATTTGAACCTCTGACCTGTTGGTCTTCAGTCCTGCTGGCACAAGGGTTTAACCCATTGCGCTACCAGGGGCTCCATTCAAAATTAGATGAGATGTAGTCATGAAGTCCGTATAGAGATTGCACATTGAATGCATTATTGTCTTGCTGTGTATGTTGGGATACACTTAATAACCAATATCTATTTCTAAGAACACTAAAAGTGCTCATAAACTTTGGCCCCAGCAGTAGGTGGCAAACAAATCCGATCAGGGCTGCAGTCTGAAAGGAGCTGCTCAAAATGTTGACCTTTGTCTTCTAAAATTAGTTCCATCTCCAGTGAACTCTTTTTAAAAAGTCTTTCATCTTAGCATATAGAGTCCAATATTCTGAGAGGTTGCAATAGCTATTTTAATTTTCTTAAAGTATTCACTTCATTTTAAACACTTCAACAAAAAAACCCAAAGCATGTCTGTCAGGGATTTATTTTCTTCTTATTTTCAAACAGTCTCACACACTGGATAAATATTTGATGGAAGCAGAAAAGAATACCCAAGAGGCCTCTCTTGCCTGTATAATGCACTCCTTCCCTCAAATTACATTTTCAAAATAGAGTAGTTAACAGAAATATTAGGCATTGCTGGTTGAATTCTTCCCTAGGTCATGTAAAAAAAGACCCCAGAATGTTCTTTTGTGCTCATTCTCTCCTTCCCGGTGGCCACTGAGACTAATTTAAGATGAACAAAGTTCAGGGGATTTTTTCAGTGTCACTTTACAGTTTCCACCTTTTCCCCTACTTTGCCTTTAAAAAACTTTTGTGACAGGCAAAAAATTTTTAAAAAAAGCTTTCCTGGAGGAATAGGTATAAGTTTTGAAGTTGTTAAAAACGCACAAGTTGGGAAGATGTATGGGAGAAATGAAAACCTTTTAAATAGGACACATTTCCCCAATCTGGTGTTTTCTCTGGACTTAGGACTCTAGGAACCATCAGCCTCAGACAGTAAACCAAGGCTCCATCTACGCTCTCTAGAATAAATGAAGTTCGACACCAGTTTAACTGCTATTGCTCAATGCTGTAGAATTGTGAGAGTTGTAGTTTTACAAGGTCTTTAACTTCCGCTGTCAAAGAGTACTGGGGCCTCACCAGACTGCAACTCCCATGGTTCTGTATAATTGAGCCATGGCAATTAAAGTAGTGTGAAATTACATTAATTCAACAGCATAGATGCACCCCAAAACAACTGAGAAGTATCAGTTTGGGGAAGGTTAAAACAGGACTTTTTTTTCCATGCTGGTCTTAGGGCACAAGTGGTTGTGTATTTGACTAGTTTTTAATCGTGTCAGAAACTACTTGAGAACATACTGGAAGTCATACTTGAGAACATACTGGAACCCAGACCTCACCTCTGAGGATGCCTGCCATAGATGCAGGCGAAACGTCAGGAGAAATGCCTCTAGAACATGGCCATATAGCCCGAAAAAACCCACAAGAACTGAGGATACTGTAAGTCACTTCTGATGTGAGAAAATTGGCCATCTACAGAGACATTGCCCAGGGAACACCAAGATGTTTTAGCTAGGAGGTTTCTCTCTTGTCCCTACAAGCTAGAGCTGACAGGCAGGAGCTCATCCCCATCTTGCGGACTCAAATCTGCAACCTTCAGGTCAGCAACCCAATCTTCAGGTCAGCAATCCAGCCGGCACAAGGGTTTAACCCATTGCACCACTGTCACTCCTATTTCATTAGTACCAGTATGACAGTGGATTAAGAAACAGGAACCAAGTGTTTTGGGGGGATTATATGTAACCTCCATACCATTTGGCATCCTATAGATTCCTCCCAAAGAGGAATCACTTTTTCATATACCCAGTATATTTGGTTTTAATAAACAAAAATCATGCCTTCATGCCAAGTCCCACCTGTGTGGATCCTAAAATCCCATCATTATTTGTGTGAGGATCAATTTTCACTCCGAGACAACTCAATCCTAAATAAGACCACTTGCCAATGTTGTATTTTCACTTCTTCCAACCCTTCCCAAATTGGCTTTCTTGGGCCCAAAACTAGACCCCAAATGACAGAAGAAAGTGACATGATAGAATGTGTGGTATAGCCTGTAGAAACAATCACAACAACAAAGACTGGCTCCTGTGCAGTTCCCTATGTCTGCTCTCGGGTGTGTGGATCTTTCTAAACCAAGCTAAGAGTTAATTTAAGTGCAGTATTCTTCATAGTGACAATAGTTGTTTCTGAGTGTGTTATGTGCCTTCACTTTGCTTGTTGACTTATGGGTGAACACACACATTTTATAACATTTTCCTAAGGAATACTCAGATGTGGTTTTGCTAGTTTCTTCATTTGACCTTTGTAGTGGTTCCTAGCCTGTGGGTCCCCAAGTATTTTGGCCTACAACTCCCAGAAATCCCAGCCAGTTTACCAGCTGTTAGGATTTCTAGGAGTTGAGAACCAAAACATTTGGGAACCCACAGGTTAAGAACCACTGACCTATAGCCTCCAGCACCTGGTATTCCTTGGTAGTCTTCAATCCAAGTACGAACCAGGGCTGAAACTGCTTAACTTCCAAGATCAAACAGAATTTGGTTTTTCAGACCTAGTTAACTTTATCTTACATCACTCTCTATAAGTAAGTGAATTTACCTGCAAAGTTCCATAAATGCCCTTCAATTATCTGACAAAGTGAGTTACTTTTCAGTAAAAACTTAAGTTATAATGTTAGCCTCAAGGGTGACCTACAATTGTTTGTTCTACAAGATCATTGGCAGAAACACTGTTTCTGCCAATCCTAAACGATAAGAGTTCCCTTACAGCCCAATTACAGCAATTTTATCCCAATTTATTTGCAATTGTTCCATCCCATAGAAGTTCCAACAGAATTTGTAGTTTGTGGAGAGACTTTGAATTTTCTAGTGCCCTCCGCTGAACTTTTTCACTCAAACTCTTAGCAGAGAATTTTTAAAACTCCTGCACAAAACTACAAATCCACTATTTCAAACAGTGGAACCTTGGCAGTCAAAGTGGCATCAATTCCTAACATGTGTGGATATACCTACAGTCATCTGGATGAATAAAATTAACTGTAGCCCTGTGATCAACATCCAGAAAGTCTTCTATTTGCAAACCTGGGCTGTGAAGTATGTGACACCTTTGTGTTTGAACTGATACATTTGAAAGCAGTTAAACTTTATTTCCAGTAAAGGGCTTAGAATAGGCTTTCTTTTAATGGATTTTTCCAGCCACTGCAAGAGAGTTTCAGTTCAAGATTGACTGTGTTAATCTAATTTGGTTTCCTGTTTTATTTACACAGGATAAACTAAAGAATTACAATCTGGTTTTATTTAGCTGACTTCTTTACCCACTACTTGTATTTACCTTTGATTAGGCTGTGATGAATGTGTGCAAGAGTTGATAAGTGGCTCCTGGTGGGTTCCCGATGGCCCCCATTTGCACTTCTCTGAGAATCCCATCTGTGATTGGCTTTTACTGATCATCCTTTTAACTTGCAAGGAAGCTATGAGGAAATTACAAAATCTTCTTGAAATGATCTTTAAGGGAGTGTACTTGTTAACTAACCTTTCCTTTCCTCCCCCCACCTTCTTCTTTCCACCTTCAGTTGTGACAGAGGAAGAGGAATTTATCTATTTACCTTCAAATTGTCCAAGACTACAGCAAACAATGAGCTTTCTTATGCTCCTGTTGGGTGGTTTCTTTGCATTGTTCTGCACAAAGCTCATCCATCAGCTGTGAAGAGTCACTTATTCAGATCTGGAGTCCTACCGGATAGTTTGCCTTATTATAAAGTTTGACCTTGGAAGACTATAAACTAAAACAAAAGACATTTTCTGGCTCTGTTTTTCTATTTATTTACCTGTACAACAGGAATTTTAACAATATTTTTTAAAAAACATATATTTTAAACATGCAATTCTAGCACCACAGTAAATCCTAGCATTGATTCCCTCACTTCAGTTGTGTCCCTGTTCTCATACAAAAACAAGAAGGGAAAATGATGGATGCAAGGATTTTTTTTCTTGGGGACATGGAAGCTACGTTGGAAAAGAATAAGCTGCTCTGGGTTCAGAAGGACAGCAGTAGAAGTCACCCTGGACTCTAGGAATTGTTCCCAAATGCATTTGGTTTCCTTGAATTGCTGAGAAAGGGGTCCATTCCTTTTAAAGTGCAATTTTTACAGTATCGAGTGGCTGTTTCAGTATTCATCCAGTGGTCAAGTATTAGTAGAATGCTTGACCATGAAAAAAGCACTATATTGCACAAATGCTCATGCTTGTACTTCTGTTTGAATCTGATTTAAGCAGTTCTTTATGTCTTGATTGAAATGTTGACTCTTCCAGTGGAAGATAATGCTGTATGTATCATGTGATTTAAATATATTAAAAGAATAACTTACATTTATTTAGAGGTCATTTTCTTTCTTTCCAAATGTACAATATTGGAAGAAGAGGTGGGAAAGAAGTCAGTTTCATTCAGCTGTATTGTACTGCCATCACACTTTGAAGTTTGGACTAAAAATGGATGACGCTGTGAAAACCTGCATTTAATGAATATTATTTCAAAGGTGTTTTCTTAAAAAATATATTCATTTCAAACTGCATGTTGGTAATCTGTTTGATACTAACATATAATCTGTGCCAAAGTTTGCCATGGAGGCTTGAAGATTCCAGCCAAAGATGGAAAAACATGAGGGTTACGTTAGATCATAAACAAATATACAGTATGTGTTTTCCAAAACATAGGTTTGGATGCATACATACAGATATATGATGTGTTCCCTTCTTCTGCATGCTTCTGTGACTCTGTTAGGGAAGGGGTTCTGAGACTTTGTTGAAGGACAGCATATAAATATGATATTAATAAAAATCCAAAATTGGTAATTTAACTGTGTTTGCAGCAGGGCACTGAATTCATGCCAGCCTGTACAGGCCACGTCTTAGAAAAGCTGTTTTTGGCCTACATTTGGACTACAATATACATTCAGCTACAGATGGCTTATTTATCTTATCAATTTATTTTAGCAGAAGCCTGAATTTGTCTTGTCATCCAAGTCAGCTAATTCAGTTCTAGCTGGTGCTATGCTTTTTCCCTTTTCTGAAGCTGAATGTATAATGTAGTCCAAATGCTCCAAAAGAAAGGAGAATGACATAGAACAGAATCAGGTCATTGGAGCCTCCAAATCTTGGAGTGCAGCTCCCATTACCCTTTACGGCTTAACCTGTTAGCTAGAGCCGATGGGAGTTATAGATCAATAACATGGAAAACTGCAAATTGTTCACCCTACCACAGAAATGAAGTATCTGAAATAATAATAATAATAATAATAATAATAATAATAATAAATTTTATTTATACCCTGCCCCCTTTTCCCAAAGGGACTTGGGGTGGCTTACAACAATCAACAAATACAGAAAATAATATAAGCAGTAACAATAGACAACAATAAACAAATTATCACTTCATATGGTGGCACAGTGAATTAAACTGCTGAGCTGCTGTACTTGTTGACTGAAAGGTCACAGGTTCGAATCCGGGGAGGGGAGCAGCATGAGCTCCTGCTGTTAGGCCCAGCTTCTGCCAACCTAGCAGTTTGAAAACTTACAAATGTGAGTACATCAATAGGTACCACTCCAGTGGGAAGATAACAACACTCCATGCAGTCATGCCCGCCACATGACCTTGGAGGCGTCTACGGACAACGCCGGCTCTTTGGCTTAGAAATGGAGATGGGCACCAACCCCCAGAGTCTGACATGACTGAACTTAATGTCAGCAGAAAACCTTTAACCTTTACCTACAATTAAAAACACAATAATATAAACATTAATAAATAACAATTTAAAAGCTATTTGCCCTCTAAAAACAATATAAATATAAACACAGTTTAAATCATTCCGTTCCCGTTATCAAGATACCCAGCATTATGATTAATGTTCTAAAGGTCATTCAAATTCTGTCTGATAATTAAGTTAAGTAACACTCTAGCCATTATCAAAGGCTTGCTTAAATAGTCAGGTTTTCACCTCCTTCCTGAAGGTTAAAAGAGTGTCTGCTTACCTTTTTTCCTTGGGAAGAGCATTCCAGAGTCGGGGAGGGGGGCACTATCAAGAAGTCCCCCCCCTCTCTCGTCCTCACCAACCTCACTTGTGAGGGAGGTGGGATCAAGAAAAGGGTCTCCCCAACCAGGTTCATAGGGAGAGATGTGGTCACATAAAAAGCTAAGAAGTAGAGCAGTGACTCATTTTTCCCAAAGGTTTTTTGGGGTGAGAGGAGATAGATATCTCTTTACATGTTCAAGAGATTGTCTCCTTATGAATGGAAATAATGCAGCCTCTCAGATTTCGAACTGCAAGTCCTAGTATTCTTCATTGACTATATAGGCTTGGGCTGTTGGGAATTGCAGTCAAGAATATCTGCAAAGCTGCATTATTCCACTTTCTGCATACCAGTAAAAATTCCTGTGCCATGTAATGAGCAGGATCAGCACTCATCATTCCCACTCCAGAAGCAGGTTTAATGGTGATGAGATGAAATGTGCCTAGATAAGGACTTGAAGGTACAGGATATTGCAAGGATTGAACAAATATTTCTACCTTCCTAATGATTAACTAGTGTAGGCACACCCACAGCCTCTAGTTTGCCATGGTCTGGCATTATCTGAGTGCCTTATAAAACACATTAGCATCAAGTTGTGATGGTCAGTGTTTTCAATCAATAGCATTCCCTAAATTATAGAGAAAAGTACTGTTATGACAGGTTTTGTTTCTCTATAATAAAGCTATGTGTAAAATGCATCTATTCTGTTGTTTACCTGAAATGTATCTTAATTTTAATTCAGTTTTGTGCCCTAAACTACAGAAGATGGCCTATGATCTGTGAATAATGTTGCATATGTTCTAACATTGTGCATTGCAACATTTTATGCTCTCTGTATCTGCAGTCAATCTGTCATGGAATGCCTTTTTACAGTTTACCCCAGGATAGTTGATTTTCTCCCTGGAAGTGCAGACAACCCCAATGATAACATCTGTTCATCCCTCTGGAAATTTGACAGCTTAGACTGCTTACACTTGCTGGGGTAGAAAAATTGGTGCATTTTGTGTCACTGTTTACAGAGAAACAGACATTTTGGCTCCTGTTGTCCTCACTCCCGGTCCTGCCACAAGGGCCTTGGTGCCCTGGCTAGTGTTGAGGGAGAACCTATATTTGGAAACTGAGTTGGTGGCAGCAACAAGAAGAAGAGAAAATGAATACAGAATGAATACAAAATAGTTGAAGCCCATTGAGTGAGTTCTTAATTTCAGCCAATTTCTAATGGTCAGTTTTCTTATGCACATTTAATGTAGATTTGTTCTTATTGTGTACCTCATCTTATTCAAGGGCGTGTTTCTGCTGTGAGATCTTTTTGTGGACACCTGGGGAAATTTAAGGGCTGGGCTTCCTCCAATCTGAGTAGCCCCAGAGAAAGTAAGATTTTGTGCCTTTCTAAGCAAGCATAGTTTTGCACACAGTTTCTTCGACAGATTCCTATGGTTTCAGAGTATCCCTCTAAAAAAGAAAGGAAAAAACACAGTGCTACTTTGATCAGACTTGCATTATTTATTTATTTATTTTATTTATTTGCTTTATTTTTATACCGCATTTTTCAGCCTAATTCGGCGACTCAATGCGGTTTACAATGTAATTTATATAACAATAACAATTAGTTAAAACACAACATACACGACAGACAATACAAGACAACACAACATAGTCATCAACGCCTCAGTAAAAATCAGATTCCGTTCTCATATTCCTTCTACCATTCCTTTGTTCATTTATACCGTCTTCAAGAGTTCAGTTGCCTTGTTGACCGAACGCCTGTTCATAGAGCCACGTCTTGACCTTCCTCCGGAACTCCAGCAACGAAGGGGCCTGCCTGATGTCTACGGGTAGGGCATTCCATAGCCGAGGGGCCACCACCGAGAAGGCCCTGTCCCTCGTCCCCGCCAGCCGCGCCTGCGACGCAGGCGGGACCGAGAGCAGGGCCTCCCCAGACGATCTTAACGTCCTCGTTGGTTCATAGGTGGAGATGCGTTCGGAGAGGTAAGCAGGGCCAGAACCGTTTAGGGCTTTATAGGCTAAAGCCAGCACCTTGAATTGTGCCTGGTAGCGGATTGGCAGCCAGTGGAGCTGGCTCAGCAGAGGAGTGGTATGCTCCCTGAGTGCATTACAACCAGAGCACAAAAGTTGATGTTTTTGTTTGCATAGTACAAAAAACTTATCCACAATTTTACTTACCCATGCTCCAAAATATATTTCCCCAGAAGTGTTTGTGGGCTGTAGGTCTTCCACTACAATTCTGTGGTATGCTTCATGCCCATGAATAGTCAAAATATGGGGTTTGCAATTATCTACACTTGACTACATGTGTATGTCTTGGAATGTATCACTTATGGACACCAAGGTCACACTGTACTTCACTTTTACTGTTGCAAACCTTTTTAATTCCATTTTTCCATGACAGGAGCAACTTGAGAAACTGCAAGTCGCTTCTGTTGTGAGAGAATTGGCCATCTGCAAGGACATTGCCCAGGGGACGACTGGATATTTTACCATCCTGTAGGAGGCTTCTCTCATGTCCCTGCATGAGAAGTTGGAGCTGACAGGCGGAAGCTCACCCCGTTCCCCAGATTCGAACCACTGACCTTTCAATCAGCAGTCCTGCCAGCACAATGGTTTAACCAATTGCACCATTGGGAGTGCATGTGATTTTCTTAATGTTGTATCACTCCTTTAGAAATTCACTTGCATCCCATTTTTCACTGCTGGTACTTCCTCTCCCAATGTCTCTAAGTGACCATTGGTTTGTGTTTTCAAAGGCTTTCATGGCCAGAATCACTGACCACTGCTTGTTTACGTGATAGAGAGAAGTAACATTAAAGCATGACGAGATACTGAATTAAACTGCCTTTTTAGTGGATCCCAGACCAGGGAATGTATGGATGGATCAACATGGAGCCAAAAGATAGGTTCTACCTTAATCCTTCATATGATAACAATTATATATTCCACCTGGTTCCTTTAATAGGCTAAATAAAATCACCCATAAGTCATTTCTGACTTATTGTTACCTTAACAATGTATTACAGGGATTTCTGTGGCTGAGAGTATGTGACTTACCCAGTTGGATTTTCAAGGCTGTCTGAGAATTCAAATATAGTTGCCAGAATTGTGGTCCAACAATCAAACCACCGCACTACTTTGACATGTACTTCAGGTTATGGTGACCCTAACCTATCAAAGGGTCATCCAGTTGGGTTTACATGGTCAAGCTGGGATTTGAACCCTCATCACCAAAGTTGTAGTCCAATGCTTATTTATCATGTTCTCCCTACAAAGAAAGGGCTGTGCCTGACCAAA